TCAAGAAATGGACAGTTAAAGTGAATAAACACTTCTCAGAAGAAGTACACAAGGACAATAAGTACATGAACAGCTGTTCAGAATCTATGGCCATCAAAGAAATACAAATCAAAACAACACTGAGATTCCATCTTACTGCAGTATGAATGGCCTTCATCAATGACTCAAAATACAAGAAATGCTGTCAAGGTTGTGGGGGAAAGAAATCCTTCTACATTGTTGGTAAGAATGAAAGCTAGTAAAACCACTATGGAAATCAGTATGGAGATCCTTCTGAAAGCTAAACTTAGAAATTCCATTTGACCAATCTATATCTATTCTGGGCATCTTCGAAAAAGAGTTAAAGATATCATATTAAGGTGACACATGCTTTTTCATGTTTATAGCAGCACAACACACAACAGCTACATCTTGGAGTTAGCCTACATGTTCGTCAACAGGAATGGATAAATAAAATGTGGCATATATAACCAATGGAGTACTACTGAGCCATAAAAAGGATATACTTGAGTCATTTGTAGAAAAATAGATGGCTCTTCAAATGATAATGCTAAACAAAATAAAGCAAACCCAGAGTAGTGGGACCAGCAAGGAGACCAAAGACCTGTTGTTAGAGGAAGTTCTTGCTTTTTGGTGTAAGAGTCACCTCAGGCATGTTGCAAGCAAAGTTGCAAGATGAAATAAACATCTGAGTTAAAAAGGTTAGTGACTTAACTAACGTGAGCATGTAGTTTGTTTTCATAGATACAAACTCAAGAGGGTGGGGGATTTGGCTCAGTGGTGCTGCCGCCTGCCTTGCAAGCACAAGATCCCGAATTCAATCCCCGGTATCAAAAAAACAAAAAACAAAAAAACTCAAGATATATAGTGCTTTCTTGTGGATATTTTAATAAGTCAAATGAATAGAGAGAGAAATTCACTCTGAGTTTATAAAAGTGAGCACTGTGTGATGGTAATTGTGAGAGTTATGTAATGTAATTCAATGTCAAACTGGATTATAGTATACTTCCATGGCTTATTGTATCTGAAATTGATTAATAAGTAACTAATACATAGGTTGGTTTGGTTGTTCATAAAAGCTTTGTGTGGTACACTAGGGCTAACTCTAACCCTGAGATTACAGAAACCACATGGTTATCTATTTCTGTAGACTATCAGCTGATCAATGAGGAAAGGACGCAGCAGAAATAAGTATTAAAAAAAAGAATTTCTTATCACCTAGATTGTCTAAAGGGTGATAAATGTACTGGCCACATGGACTTTTCCTGAATTTTCTTCATGGGGACTCATCTTGGTGGTCTTTCAGGGTAGGAACACAAAGGACCAGAGAGTCTCCAAACCCAGTACTCACATCTTCTTTCCTCCCATGTGCAGCAGTATTTCTACACTAAATTGTATATCCAGATATCCCTTTTGCTACAATCAATTTGAAACCAAAAAGTTAAAACACATTTTTTTGGCACATTCCTGTAATCTTAGTACTGTGAGAGGATCAACCAGGAAAATTGGAATTTAGAGCCCAACTTGGTCAACTTTGTGACACAGTGAGACCTTATCGCAAAATAAAAATTTAAAAAGGGTCAGAGATGCAGCTCAGTGTGAATGCCCTGAATTCAATTCCTGGTAAATAAAATAGGATTTTTCAAAAGCTAAACTATTTCTCCAGCTTCTTCTTGCTGAGTGGAAACTACCAGTTCCAGCCGTAGTGCCAAGGAGGTTTCAACAGCACCAGATTCTCAATAATCTCTGGGCTTGCTGGTGAGCCAAAACCCAACTAAATATTATATATTTCCTGGCTTATGTTTCTATAAGTTGAACATTTCTGTGTATTCAAGAGAAGTGGACTAGCTGCTGTCACAATTTGGCCAAATGATAAATAAACTAAGTTTTCTGTCTTTACAGACTTTTCTCATACTTTTTTTTTTTTTTCAGTCCTGGCTTGGCTCAAACTTGTCATCTTCCTGCCACAGCCTTCCAGAATGCTGGATTGCAGATATGCAGCACTGAACCTGGCTTCTCATACTCTTGATGGTGGCTGGATAAATGAAGACAAGATAATTGGGACCCAGATTCAGGCCTCCACCCAGAGCCCCCATAACAAATTGCACAGCCTAATATCTGCCACCTGCACTAAATCATATATGCAGATATCCTGTCACCTGCTCCTTCCTCAAAAGTCACAGTTCTTGAGAATGTCAACAAAGAGCTTTACATGGGAAGGGTTGTCTTCGCCTGTGGTGTGCATTGGCTTTCTATTCCCACTGATGTTTGTAGTTTTTGTGTCATTTGTCCCACTGTGTCTCGAAATGTCAACTGTTTCTGCACCCAAAAGCTTTTATGAGCTAAGCAAAGCTTACCTAGAGGCAGCTTCAGCAGAAAATAGGCACCCATTGCTGTAAAACACATGGTGTCTTCCTTGGAAAGAATGCTAGCAGCCAGAGAAGGTACAAGCCAGTGACATGCAGTGACACATAAGCTGCAGCCCAGTTCCAGGGAGCCTGACTTCAGCTTCTCGGGCCTATCCATGATCATCATTGATTCCACCCACCCATGAGTCACTTTTGGGCCACTTCGCGGCTGAAATGCCTAGGTCATTTCATCACCCCCGCCCTTCTCATTTCCTGAATCTGGTGAAAATGACCAAGTCCCACAGAGCAACTCATCTCACTCCCATACCACTGCAGGAAGAGGCCCTGCAAACCAGCTCCCTCCACTTTCCTCTTCAGAGCTCCACTCCAAGCTGTAACATGGAAAGGCTCTGCATGGATCTGCCTTATTACCACAGCTGTCTGACGAAGCATGAGTGTGAAACTTTGCTGCTCAAGGAAGGAGTAAATGGCAACTTTCTGATAAGAGACAGCGAGTCTATACCCGGAGTCTTGTGTCTCTGTGTCTCGTGAGTAGCCTCATCTTCTCTACATTGGAAATTTGATGTTGGTCATAGCAATGGCAGCCACATCTTTACACTCTCCTTTATGGTTCCAAATAGCGAGAAGGAATGTGCCTACCTAGTTCTTCCATTCTCCCCTCTTCCTGGTGTAAATGCTGCATGTACAGATTCTATAGCAGCAGAAGTAGGACTTGTAGGAAAGGGACAGGCTACAGGAAGCATGGCTGGGTGGAGAGAAGGTAGAAGTATCATAAAGAAGTAGGACGTAGGAAAGGGACAGGCTACAGGAAGCATGGCGCGGGAGAGAGAAGGTAGAAGTGTCATAAATACTCTCTTTCACAGGTCTATTTACTTGGTATGGAGAAAGCAAGAGGTCTTTCTTGAAGTTTCAATCTGAAAGACTGTGTATTTTGCTCCATCCACTTGCAATACATAAAATGTTCATATTTTATGCTGTTAGGTTTGTAAAGCACCCCCCCCATATACAATTTCTTTTCATTTTTCTTGTGGTCTATCAGGGCAAGCAGAAACAGTTACCATTTTATAGGTGAAGAACGAGAAATCTAAATTTCTCAAAGGACTCGTATGTGCTAAAATTCATCTGATTCTTCAAAAGGCTAGTTAGGTATGAAATTCCAGGACAGAGAATCAGAGCTACTTTGATGAAGGAAATTCTTTATGCTCAGTGTAGAAAGCAATGCCAAACAGATATCAGTCAAAATCTTCTTATGCATTTTTTCCTCTTTGTAGAGAACACTGAACCTTTTATTCTGCATGTTACAAAATTAAAATCCAAATGTCTCTTGTTAAAGAAAAAAAGTTCAATGACATTTGCTAAAGCATGGAAGATTTTATTCAAGACCATCGTGATGAGTATAGGGACCACTGCAATGGGGACTTGAAGTGGGGAGAGAGATTGGGCTTAACTCAAAACAGAGCAAGGGCAAATGGATATTTATAACCAAGGAGCAGAGTCAGTGTCCATGGATGGAAATTAAGACGAAACTTCAGGGATAAGAACTGTAGCTAAACAGATCCAGATTCTAGCTGAAGATAGATGACAGTACTCAGACGTTACCTGGTGAGTGGTAGGGAACGAAGAACCTAGTCAGATTTTGAGGGTGATCAGATATTGATGGTGAGGGGTTCTTGTCAAACTAACTTAGCAGAGTTCTTTAATAAAACTACTTTTTATAAGAAAATACAGATAGATCTAGAAGGTTCAAAGTCTGAATTAAATCTGGCCAAATAATTGGTGCCACTATATGAATGAGCATTCACATTTCTTAGAAATGGAGAGCTTTGAAGACAAATATAATAGTCATTGCTAATAGAAATGAAGGAATATATTTGTTTCCTTAAATAGTACTAGAGATACAGGTATGAGAATAGTTAAATTGATATAAATATCAATTTATATTTTCAAGTGATATTGTGTATGTATATATAGTTTTTTCAGCCATTGGTAATTTCTGCTATGGTTCAAATGTGGTTCATCCCACAAGGGTTCACATGTTGGAAGCTTGGCCCCCAATGTGGTGTTAAAAGGTAGTGGTATCTTGAAAGAGTAGGGCTTAATAGGAGGTCCTTGGGTTACTGAGGCTGCTGCCCTTGGAAGGAATTGACATAGTTCTCATGAGACTCTGAGTTAGCTCTTGGTAGTGAGTAGTTATAAAATGAGTCAGATGGGTCATTCCTCCCAACACTGCTCTGGCTTCTCATTTTGCTCTATGATCTCTCCTTCTCACTTATGCTCCCACTATGATACCATCTGCCATGATCTGATGCAGCCCAGAGGGCTTCACCAGAATCAGTGCCATGCTGTTTGGACTTTCAGCCTCCATAATTGTGGGCTAACGATACCTCTTTTCTTTACAAGTATAGCTTCAGGTATAGATATCATAATGGAAAATGAAGTAATCCAATTCCCCTTTAAAGAATTGAATATTTTTATCTTTCACCCATTTTGTCTTCTTTTTGATGTTTTCTTCCAAATTATGTGTGTGATGGTAATTTTTTTCCCCAAAAGAGATGCCTACATAGAAGAAAAGACCCACATGTAGACTGATTCCATTAAATGGCAATTTTAAATAAACTACTACCAGAATCCCTTTATACATTAAGGAAAAAATATGTTTAAGCATATTGAAATCCAAGATTGTTCCATATTAGGAAAAGTATTAGTTCAATTATGTATTAATAGTTCAAAGTTTACAAATTTCATAATTCACTCAATTGGATTAAAATGTCTGAGATTAAATAGCCACCTCCTAATTAAACACATACCCACACATGTGCATGTTCGTGCACACCTACGCACAGATGTCAAAAACCCCTATGGAGCTAGAAGAATAATTCCTGAACCAAAGGCCAAATGAAACACTACAAGAATTAACAGCACTGCTATGCAGCACTTTCCAGGAGATGTTGACAACTGTAATGGGTCAAATGAAGCAAACACAGAAAATGTAAAAATTTTAAAGGAAAGTTATTTGAAAGCAAGATGATTTTATACTTGTCTTTTAAAAATAACTATGTATTTTTTTCCCTGATCTTCTAACAGCTGAATGAAAAAGGCAACCTCTATGCATGTGTATATTCGTGTAAGCATGCATCCATCTTGACAAAGCATACCAGTCATTTGCAACATGAATTGGAAAGGAGAAAAATTCTTGAGTTAGAAAATTAAGAGACCTATAGAATACTTGTGAAATTTCTGGCACAAAAGACTCAAATGTTTTCGTATTTTCCTGTATAGATGGATAGTTTTCATAGATCACTTGTTGTTATAAACTGTTTGCACAGATGACAGTATAATCAACACTTGAAATCACAACCTAGTGTAGTGGCACACACTTAATCCAACCTTCTGAGTGACAGAACGATCGCAAGCTTGAACCCAACCCAGGCAACACAGCAAGATCCTGCCTCACACCAAAACATGAGAGTTTTGCTCAGTGCAAAGATTCTAGGTTCAATCTTCAGTACAGTGCCTCTGCCCATCACAATTCTGGGGTTTTCCTCATACTTTTATTGATCCCACGTGGTAGCTCCTTGCCCTGAGGCTCTGAAGGCTCCCTTTGAACCAATGTAGTCCCAGATTATTGAAAGCTTTAGCCTCAGTGTCTACTAGAACGTGGTCTTCAAGGAAAAGCTCCTTTCCACGATGGTGAGAACTCAGTGCTAGTGACAGAATACTTAGACACAGAGGTTGCCCTTGCCTGTGGGCATACTGCTGTCACCCAGGCCCCAGGCAGAACTCCTAGCTCCTGACTTGTATCAGAATCGCTTCCCGAGGCTTTGGAGTCACAGCCATCTTGATAGTTGTAGCTGATCCACTATGAAGACTCCACAATGAGCCCTTGAAAACTATGCAGAGATCATTGAAAAACCCAGCCAAAACTTACTCCACTCTCTTTTCTGACAGGGTACTGTGCCGTTAGGCCAGGAATTGGCCAATTGTGGAATTAGTAGATATTTGTCAGAAATTGTAGATTTAGTACAGTTTGGGTGCTGCATGTTTCTATTTGTGCTATACCTTCTCCAGTCCTGATTTAATAAACTCTAATATGCACCTTAAAAAAAAATCACAACTGACATTTAGAAATGGGAAGAAAGGAGCTAAAGGTGTAGGGAAGGTGGGATAGGTAGGGGAAGGGTAATAAGGGAAAAGAAAAAAGTGTGAGATAATGAAAAGATGAAAATAAAGTATTTGTAGATGGGGAGGAGAGGAGGGGGTAAAGGGAGGGCAGGGGTAAGGGGAAAAAATGAGAACCAAGACCTGTCATGTAGAGGTACAAGTTCCCAACAATGAATGTAACTGTACTGTATCCCTAAAATGTACCAATAAACTCAATTAAAGATGACAAAAGAAAAAAATCACAATCTCAGGCCGGGGATTTAGCTCAGCGGTTCAGTGGCCTGCCTTGCAAGCGCAAGGACTCAAGTTCAATCCCCGGTACCAAAAAAAAAAAAAAAAAAAAAAAAATCACAATCTAAAAGAGGCACACTTGAATTCAATCCCTATACACACTCATTTGTGAGTCTAAAAAGGTACAAAGACAAGCTTGATATTTTGTGTTTGAATGCCACAGTGATTATGATCATATTGGCAAGAGTAATCAAAAACCATAGTAGGATTTTACATAAATTATCATTCATAATACTCAGTGCCAAACTAAAATTAAATCGTTGCTAGAAACATTTTCCAACCCTAAACCTCAGGGAGCCAGAGTCCAATTGATTCAAGTAGGGCAGGGCAGAATCTCTGCAACAAGAATTGTCTAAATTCATTCACAGATATTCAAGGCACCGTCAAAATACAGTGAAGCCGTGTCAGAAAAAATAAAGGAGCGTGTTTTCAGTTTCTTACCTGTAAACTTACCTGCATTATATATCTTTAGACAAAAAATACAGGTTACTTAAAATCTGTTATTCTATATAGGAAAATACCACAGTGTTTACAAAATGATAAATACCTCAAAAGCAACAGCTCCATGTCATCGTATCTCTAAAACACCCGAACAGTGGTAGCAACCATACCAGTGTATTTCACATCTGTAACCTCCCTCCTAAATTAGTCATCTAGGATGCATAAAGCATCCTCTCTGCATTATGTCCTCTAGTTAGACTGCTATTATTGGCACAACAAATTCCAGAAATGCAAAAAAGAAAAGAAGGAGGTGGGGGAGAAACTAGTAAAACCAATTAATTCAGAGGAAAACTGCAGTTACAGGAAATATATTTCCTGTATTTCATATATCCTGGAAAGATTCTTTCAAGTTAGGAACAATAATATTGCAATTAAATTGTCTTCAATGTGTTTGTACTTATATTCTTTGCAGCATAAAATAATTGATGTTCCCTCAAGTTGTTTTATAGACTACAAATTTTAAGCAAGTGGTATTAACAGTTTAGGTATTCAAAAGAGATCATTCTAATACAAGCACAGCTTTAATTTGCCTATGACTTTAAAAATAATAGTTATTTTTCTCATTCATACAATA